TACTATTTCTTTTGCATTAAAGAAATGAAAAATGAAATATTTTACACTGCATTTTCAGACATGACCATCAACATAACTTTTCCGCCAGTTTTAGTGCTGAGGAGATAGCAAAGCAACCTCCAAGACGCTCGCGCAATACTAAGAAGGTACTTTCTTCCATACTACATCAGATTTAATTTGAAACTGCGGTCGTTTTTCCTTTGGAATATTCCTCATTCCGTGTAAACTGTCCACCTTCAACGGAGGTTTTCGAAAACGCTACACCTTTGTAAGAAACATTTGTTAGTGTTTCATTTACAATAAAAGATAGCAGCGTAAGATAGTTAACTTTCGACAATAGTGCGAGTTCATTTCATGTGTCCTTCTATTGTCAGGCAACCGAAGAAAAGGAACATTTTTCGACATACGCTCTGAACGCGAAAACAGGAAGGACCCACTGGAAACATGAACCAGGCGACTATGAAGCCAAGAAAATGGACAGAGAGGTATCATTGTTATTTATATCAGTATACTATACTTCATCAAACTCAGCGTTCTGCGTTTAGTTGTGCATGGTGTAGAAGCTTTTAGGAACGAAATAGCGACCTTTTCGAGCGACTGTCGTTAAACCAAGCCAAATAGAATGATTTTCTATGTCAAGCTTTATTGGGCAAGATCAAAAATGAAAATATTTAAACATAAAGAATCAAAGCCCAAAAGGGATGGGCACGAACGGGACACTCAGACCCATGCGGGGTGCCTACCCAAGGGAATATAAGTGTATATTATATTTTCAATTCTGTGGTTAAAGTAGTTCATGTTCACACAGACGCAAAACTAACACCAACCGCACCTGGTTCATGTTTCGTGTTTTCTCATGATTCAGGCACTTTGCTCGTTTTTACTTGATCGAGTTTTCATCGGATCTTAGCGGTTTTTCTTAGTGTATGAGTATGTAAGTAAGAGACGTTATTTTTAAAGGCTTACGCGTAATACTGACAATTGCTGCCAAACCTGCGGCGCTTGTGGTTAGCTTTTCTAATTACTTTTAGTTTTTATTTACGACACTCGATCGAAAAGCGCTTTCATCATACACCTTGTCTTAACAAAACAAACAATCTATCCATTAGGAGTCGATCTAACGCGTCCATCTTGCCTGAAATTCCCTGATATCTTTTTTTCTCTGAAGGATATTCTGTCGGCTTACCATTTCAAGCTGGCTCTTCATTCCAGTCAGTACCACGCTGGTGAAATTCACTGGAGTCAATACACCGAGTCACTGATCTCTTCACTACCATACAGATGGCAACATCCCGCTGATACCACCTTACAAACAGCTCACTTCGTGAAAAGGCAACCCTCGACACTCGCAACTCAAGGGAAAGAACTTAAAACAGGACCTGTGGTAGAATCGAAAGCAATAAAGCCAAACGCAGTAGTTATAAAACGACAAAAGGCCATTGAGGTGTTAAACATGGAGTCTGGTCAACCTTTGTGTTCTTACGCTTTACCTATGAGAACCACAAGTGTTGGTGATTTGAACGGCGACAATGTCATAGATCACGTGACGACGTACTTTGCCTCGGAGCGGATAGACCAATCAGGAATGGTCAATCCTTGCTCGGGTGTTGCAGTTTCCGGGTCGAAATCTTTATTCAGTAGGTCTATCTGCCGTACCCCTTCAACGTTCGGTAGTTTCTTTGGCTCGTTCTCCCAGGAAGATTTACGTGAGGAGAACGTGCTGATTTCTCCGTTGCTTGTGCCAAGTCCACCTTACAAAAGAGGGATTTTCAGCCATCTATCAGGAGAGGCTTTCAAGCGAGATAGCATCAGGAGCTTGGACAGTATTTTTGTTATTTCTTCTGGAAGACTAACAAGTTTGGGACCGTTTGGTGAATTGAATTGGCAGGTAGATTGAAAGCTGGTATTTATAAAAGGAGCGTGATTAATATCAGAGATCACCTTTACAGCGAGGGCAGCACGGACCTGTGGCTGCCATGCCGTCCGTGTCTGAATTTTAAAAGCATCATCAAAAGTACAACGCCAACAACGTAATGACCAAATTGAGACTTCCAATTCATGCTGTTGCTCGGGAAAGCTAACAGGACTCGTGGTTTGATCTGTTTGAAAGAGTAGATGTAGTGAAGTAAATTGCCGATCACTTTAAGGAAAACTTGAGACGCGTTTTAATAACTTTAGACTCTCATTACAATTTCAGTTTCAGATTGTGCTTGTTATTTCGCTAAGGCCCGCGGAGAATAGATGGAAATATAGCGTATACAGTTTTTTTCATAGGCACTTGTCACTGTCGAAGAATTATCTATCAGCGCGTGAAGCCTCCACAGCGCATCACACATGCACCCCACCTGCTCTGAACACAGCATTTTTCTTGTCCTTGACAGGTAGACACGGTAACCTCATGGACGAACTACAATCCGCCTGATGACAAAAGTGCAGACGCAGTTCTTGTACCTAACATTCAAGCTGTTTCTACTGCGGTAGGGGCACAAAAGGTATGCTCATTATACTTATTTTTGGCCATTTAATCGTGGTCACGAATCTCGTATATCAGACACAAAATCGGACGTTTAGTGGCAGGTGCGGTGACTGTATGGATAGCGCGCTTATTTTCGGGTCGACTGAGAGATCCAGATTTTAGCCCCAAGTGGGTCAATGTGTACAGTCATGTTCTTAGGCACGCTACCTTACTCTCACAGTGCTCAGTATAAATGGGTGCCGGCGAATAGTGAAGGAAGCCTGACAAAATCCTGAGGAGGGATAAGGTCACCTGCAGTGGAGTAGCATTCCATTTTGCAAGAATAGAAATCCTCCGGATTACTTTTTGGCATAAACACAGGAGTCATTTCGTTTGTTTGTTTGTCTTTTGCAGGACGCTGTCTTGGTAACAGGCTTGAGAGACTTCGCACTAGTGTCTCTCAAAGATGGCTCGCTGATGGCCTCTCACTCGATACCCTGCGAACCGGTGTCTCCTGTTGTGCACGGAGATTTTACAAATGACGGTCTAATGGACTTTATTGTATGCTGTAAAACTAGGTGAGCTGTCGGCGCGGCGTCGGGCAGTGTTTGTAAATCCTTCATTCCCTGCAGTGATAAGTGTATAATTTCGTTTTTTCGATATAAGACCTCTAACCGCTGTCCGTTTAGCCCGCGAGTAGGCTCTTGTGTTCGGTTTCCTCCTATAGCCCCTTTATCGAGCACAGCCTGGGGCACAGCCGCCTATTACACCATCGGTGGCCACTTATGGAAAAAACTTTCTAGACCCCTGCAAGTGACAATGTCTTCTCATAGCCCCAGATTCTCCGGATTAAGCTTCAAATAACTGAGTGATCGTAAGCTTGGAGAGCTAGCCTATTATCTATTATATGAAGAGATAAGTCACTACAATGAGATTGTATCTAATATATTCTCGTCAACCCTTTGACCGCTAAGAGTGATTAGCAGTTCATCTCCCCTGTATCTAATATATTCTCGTCAACCCTTTGACCGCTAAGAGTGATTAGCAGTTCATCTCCCCAGCAGCCACCTCCTTGAATATAGAGGGAGTTATTAGCGATTATGGGCGAGTATTACCCACCCATCTCGTGGTGTCAGCTATAGCTTGAGACGAAATTCAAAAGGCCCGGTTACAGTTTACTTCATGTGCAACTAACACTGAAACTTCTTTTCAGCTTTATCGGCTTTTCACTGGACAGTAGACCAGGGTACTGGTGGACGGTAGTCTGGATCACGTGTGGTCTGGGGGCTATTGGAATGGCAGTACTTATACTTCGCTTCATAGAGGAAGTGATAGTGTGACAGTAGTAGGAGCCCACAGTATCAGCTGCTTGCGGAGTGTCAGAAAGAAGCCGAGTCCTCGTCTTCTTCCCTAGGCCGGATATTTGCGGGAGCATAGATTGTGCAAGTATGTTTCCTTCGCAGCCGTACGTTTGGACTCTGGAAGCAGAGTCGAGAATGTGTTCCGTAAAAAGTAAAGGTAGAACGTAATTGTTAATGACAATCTTTCGATGGCTCCTCAAAGACAGCGTCTTCAGAAACACCAAGTATTTTCAAAATGGACAGCTTTGGATCGTAAATTCGTCATGACATAGAATCTAACCGAATGAAAGAGGAATGAAAATTGAACAGACGAACGAACAAACAAACAACAAGCGAACGGACGAATAAACGAACTCGTGAGTGAACCCACAAACGGAATTACGATGGGCCGAGAAAGTAAACCGACGAACATACGAACAGACGATAAATCACGATTAGAGTACACTCTCGAAGTCGTGTTTAGAATATCTCGCCTTTAAAGTAGTTTCATTGTATTCTTATTTCGTCGAATTGCGGCCATGAAAGTGGTCGATGCCGCTACTGTTAAGAGATATTTCATTTCTTAAGTACACAATTTTTGACGCTTAACAATTGTTATGCCGCCGAGAATTAGACTGAAATCATAATTAAGATTGAATGAGAAAGCAAACGCCGGAAAAGCAGAATTAAAGTTTTCTTGTCATTAATAATTGTACAACTGTGTAAACAAAATAAAGCTTTCTGCTGACATCGTCTAAAATGGTTGCGGTCCTATGCAAACACGTCAAAAGCTTTACTTTTGAAAAATAATGGCCTTCCTCGTTAAAAGCTTGTTGCAATAGAAAATACACTGGTGTTCAATGAGGAGTTTGTTCTCAATTCAAAGTTTGATTTTACTTTTCAGAATCTAAGAAAACTAAAGATCAGGCATTCGAGAGGTTTTCTCCTGGAAAGAATCATGTTGATTTTTTAACTTTGGATATATTTCAAGATTTGGCGGAAAAGTTCGTTCAGAATTTCAGTTATCTACTTCTTATGAGTAATCGAAAATGTATTTTCTTGAACTTTTCGGTGCTGTCTGTGTTTTTCTTCGTTTTATCGCTAGTTGACTTGTGGACGAGAACAAAAGATTCGACAACAGCTTTCAACAAAGACCTGAAAAGACGCCGTGAATGTACCGACATGAAACTCCATATGTGTGTTTATTTAGGCTTTCTTTACAGAAAAATAATCTTTCCGATCGGAATATTTGTCATTTGCCAGATTAAGCTCGTAATAAAGCCATTTGCTGCTGTGCTAAGTCCTCGAACAAAAACTAGTGAAAGGCGAGTTTGTCCAGAGGTGAATGAATCAGGAAATTTCGATGTCACTCGCTAACATTAGCATCGATGTCCATAAATTGTGCGAAAGTACGTTTCTATGCCTTTCGTTCCAATATTGAGTATGAGTGATACAGTGTTTTTGTATTATTTTGTGCCGCGGGAAAGTTGCGGCAAATTTTTGCCGCCAACTTGACAAAAAGCAAATTTTGCTCGCGAAATTAAAAATTTCTCGTTTGGTTTTTAATTGTCGGTCCATCACCTTTTCCCGCCGACTAAAGTAAACATTGTGGGAGATTCCTGAAAACATAATTGTAATTGCAATTTTAATGCGAAGTTATACTGGCTTATACACATTTTGACGCAATGTAGAGGTTTTTTTTTTTGTTGTATCTTTGGTAGTTTTACCTCAGTCGTCTAATACTGCTGAGTTACAATTGATATAGTAAAGTACATGGTTATTTCAAAAAATATAGTTTCCTTAATATTTTGATAAATACTTGGTCTGGAAATTCCAGATAAACTGTTATTGTAAACTGCAGTTGAATTCAATTATTTCAAAGCCATCGCATTTTCAATGAAGCGTTTGATTTCAATGTCTTTGGCCATATCTACTGGCAACAAGCCGTTGTCTGTCTCAGAAAATAAATCCGCGCCGTGTTCGATCAGTATAGAAGCCGTCACAACATTTCCTTCTCTAACAGCCTCGTGGATAGGACTGCTTCCGTTCAAAGATTGCCTGTTTACTTCGGCGCCATGTTCCAAAAGTAATTTTACTCCTTCCGTATCACCTTTCGCTGCGGCTTCGTGGAGGAGTGAAACGCCATTACTATTCAACTCGTTCACGTTTGTAACTTGGTGGCTGATCGCACTCGCAATCGTAAAACCCGCTTTCGATTCTCCGTAAAACGTATTATATCGATCACTGTGTAAGTACGTGGCAGGGGATGAATTACGCCGTGATTGAAACTGTGCATTAGTTGGAAACTCGCGGTTAGGAGGATTTCCGGGATCTGAGAAAACGTTAACAGACGACGCACGTTTACGATCTTGAGTAAAGTTCTCCACTCTTGTATCGTTGTTTTGCCTGGGTGAAGATATTACTCCTCTCTCGAAAGAGTACACATTCGCGGCAGAATTTGTCGATGTCGAACTGTACGCGGAATCGGATGAACTCGATGAGTCAGATGAGTTAGAACACAAAGATGATGTCGATTGTCGTTTGAAGACTTCCCGTCGGCGCTTTCCGCATTTAAGGCAAACCGTGTCCTTACAACCGACGTCCCAGCTCAGTCGGTTTTTGGTATGTGTATCTTGATCTTGAGAGGGTAACTCAACCCTGCTGGGCCCACTGAAGCTTGAAACATCCATTAACCTTTCCTGATCTTTATCTCGCATCTTGACATTTGCGGTCGGAACTCTAGGTTGTAAGGAACTGCGCCTTTTTTGCGATTCAGCCGACGAAATATTTTTAGGTAAAATGATTTCGCTTGTCGCTCTCTTGCGCGGCTCTTTTATCAAACTGGTTAAATCACTTTGCTGCGCCTTTTCCTCTATTAGCTCTCTTATATCGGGCCTCCTTTTCAAGAACTGCTCGACTTCTCTAGTTTTCCCTCTCCTTCGCATAGCTTCGGCGAGAATTAGAACCGATTGCAGATCTTGCGCCAGATCGATCGCCAGTTCTCCTTGGTCGTTCTCTAACTCCACTGGAGCGCCCATGGTTATGAGATATCGGATGATGGAATGATTTCGTGCTACTGAAGCAGCATGCAGAACGCTCCAACCCTCTTTATCCTGTATGTTAAGATCAGCGCCATGACTCACGAGCAGTTGCACTAATTTTAAGTTTCCCGTAAATGAACACCTTTGCAGAGCGGTAATGCCATCTTCGTCGATATCATCGACGTGAAATTGTGACTCGCTCTGTTCAAGGAGAAACTGCACCCTGAAAATGTCCTTGACACCAACCGCTTCGTGAAATAACTCGACCGGTTTCCTCTTGACTGCAAACTTCAACATGGCGGAACACTCTCCGGAGTAATACAAAACTGCGGTGTGAAATCTGTTTGTCACAAGGTGTAGAAAACACACGACTGTGTCGCGTCAAGACTTGTCGGTTATGACATCCAGCCAGCTCGTGAATACAAAGGAGATTAGCGCCTAGCGCGAAACAACAATGCACCGCGAGACGTGTACACAAACTCAGTAAAGAAACAGTTATATCAACACGTCTACTGGTTTTGTTCCAATTGATTGCTTGCAGTGACAGCTAATCGACAGTGGTATTATTCAACCTTATTGCGCTGTCTCCTGTTGAGATAATTAAATCTTATTTTGTGGTTCTCATGGTTTCTTGGGAGGTCATCCTTGTTGACTTTCTGTGCGAGTGAAGTGCGAGTGAAGTGCGGTTCGTTTGCGGTTCACAGCGAGGTAAACATGCATTTTTCCTGCCTCCCTGCTCTTCCCTCATCCCTAAAAATGCTTGACGCGATTTCATTTGTTTCACATTGTTTGCCAAGCTATCACACTTCTTCTTTGTTCTCTTTTAGACACTCATCAAGGTTTTTAATTAATGCTTCTAATCTTTGAAAATCGATTATGACAACCATCGCGCCTGAGTAAACGGTAAATAAAAAGCTTCTAAGTCTTCGTGGCATTTTCTCTATAAAAGAAGAAGAATAATACAATCCCAGTTTGGCAGATGGCGTAGGAGTTATTGTCCGAACTGTTGATAGCAATTTCAACACTGATTTGACGCGTGGTTGCCTCGAAAATTGATATAGGACTTATGTAGGATTATGTTCAGGACCAGACATAGATAAACAATTAAATAACGACATTAAAACAGCTTTCCGTTTCAGTTTTACCAGTTGTTATTCTCCGGTGAAAAAATTATATGTCAAGTCATCGACATTTATGTTTTGATGGATCGCTCGTCACTTAATATTACAGTGAAGTAGCGCGCGCAATATCGTGGTTTGAGTTTTGTGGTTATAACCACGACAACTTAGCTATCAGATGTGTCGGGCGTGATATAATAAAATCAGAAATGACGAAAACAGAAATGATCATTCAACCTATTTTTAGTTCTGATGATTAGTTCGCCCGACTTCCTTGCACACGTCTGCAAGAGATCCCAGTAAACCCTTTCCCGCTAGCGGTTTGGTAGTGGAAGTAGTTGGAACCCACCGGTTTGCCAAGGATTGAAAGGAATGGGGAAGGATCATTCCTTTGCAATAATGTCAAGTCCAGAGGCGCATCGAGTATGCTCTAGTAGGAGTTGAAAAAATCGCATACCGCTCCATAGACTTCATATAAAAATTTTCTGGAAGGGACATCTGTTTATCTGTTTACAATAACAAAAGAACATGATGTGCCTGCTTCACGGGTCAGTGAATTCGAGTAAATCCACTTCGTATGTTGTAAATGCTGTATTCATTCTTAAATATTGGAAAACAGTAGCGAACAAAAACCCTCTGTTCGCTCCGGATATGAGTTCAAAACACCCCAGGAAATGATCCTGAGAGCCATCTTGATTGTGTCAGAGAGCCCATTGTGCCAATGTCACGAGACACATTCCATTGGAGAAAATTACGCTCGAAGACAAAGATGATAACTTTGAACTCTCTGACTTTTGGAATGAAAGCCTTTCTTGTTTAACTTGAACTTGAAGCACGATCGTGCACGTGCGAAGATTGTGTTATGTAACCGTCATGATGCAAGAATTTGAATAATCGCTTGGTCATTATTTGTATGTCGCGGAAAATCCATTCAAATCGGATGTTATCTTTGCAATTTCTCGTTACGTTTTGGCCTGTTCCTTCCCTTTGAAGACTATGGGGTATTTTGCCTAGAAATTAAAATTAAGTCGAAATATCGAGGTTTCCTCTTAAACATCTCCTGTGAAGATTTTCAGCTCGATATGGAGTTGTTTATTTACCTTGCCTTAACGAGAAGGATATCATTTTCGTAGTAACTTGAAGAAGTAAATCTATAAGACAAAGACAATCCCTTTAACAATCTGAAGTTATCAACATGTGACTTCTCTCCACAAGTTTAACACATCCATGAACTACCTTATAAGAATTAGACAATCTCTAATTTAAAAGATAAAAGTATTGTAGCTAGAATAGAGAATAACACTTCAAGATTTAACGAGTTCAAGAGTTAAACTTTTAAGTTGAGACCTTTTTGTTTCATGATCCAATATTTTGCGGTTTGGTTCCTGTGACAGCAGTTCGCAAGCCACTAAAAATAGCGCTCAATTTGACCATCCGCAATACTATGAATATACTACTTAAAGTTGTAGTTTCTCTTTAAAATCTCTCATGAAAGTTCTGTTGCCAGTCTTATTTTGTAATAATGATCTCCTCTTGTTTGCGAGGAGTCAATCATGCTTTCCAAAGGGATACAACTGGGGAACCAAATCACATTCCTAAAGCATTAGAGAACACTGAGGGATTAACACGAAAGGATAAAGTTTTGTCTCCTCGCACATGAGTCCTTGTATTAAGAGTGTTATGTAAGACAAGAACGTGCGTTGTTAGCCTTACTTTTGTATGTAAATTATTATCTTTGAACTGTCAGGCTTGCATTTGCGAATAACTCACGTGCGGTATTCTTTTTTTTTTTTGTTTTGTTTAATATATCTTTACGGGAAGGAAGCCGTGTTTGTAAAGCAAAGGGGAGAAAGCTGTGGAATTGAAAATCCCTGAAGCTTTAATAACCACAAATTGGCAGAGAAAGTTACTGGAAATCAGGAAGATGTAATCAAGAAAAACATTCAGACTCATCATATAAACTTTTATGGCCAGACTGTTGCGTAAGACAACATGCATGAACTTTGAGACAGAAGCGTGAGAGCGGAGCATTCTTCTGGAAGAAATAATGTTAACTGTCGTCTTGGATTAAGATAAATTGCCTAAAGCTGTCTGAATTTTCTAGGCTGATAACTTTTAGTGTGTAAGGGTTATTCATTCGAGAGAAGGGTTGCTTTCTAGTTTGTTCTCTTTTCTTCAGGAGTAGTCGGGCGTAAAGATGAAAATTGAGATAACGCATTTTGTAGGAATTCGAGACCTTTTATCTTTAAAAAAAAAAAAAAAAAAAAAAACACTCCTTTTGAATTTAGCTAAGTTAATTAGAGGACTTGAAACAGCCATCAATATTATGCCGCAATTGTCTGTTTAAAATAAGACGTACAAATTCCGAACAAACTTCGCCGGGTACTTTGACAGTCTACTAGCAGTGTTAATCTCATGAAGGTGGCCGGAGACAGAATCCTGGTGCTAAATACTCGGTTTAGTGATCATCTTAGCTGAGTTATTTAAGGCGTCTTAGAAAGACTTACAAGTTATTAACCCTTGTCATGTCGAAATTTTGGCAGTGTCTACTGACCATTCGTCGGGTCAGTGTCACGCGAAAACCAGAGAACTGAAGACTAGCTACGAATGAAGTGTTTCGGCCCAGACTACATTAGTAACTTAATTCACTTCAATAATTAAATCAAGCAATGACCTCTACTTGTTTTTTCGTAAGGCCACTAGGAGCTATGAAGGTGTACCATGGCGCAAAACTAGTATGAAAGCGATAAAGAAGCTGTGTTTCACATTCCGGTTCTCATGCACGTAGCGTTTAGGCGAGATTTCCTGTCGCTGTTCGGGAAATGATTTCTCGTTCCTCTCCCACTGAAGTGACTTCTCAGGAAGTGTAAACACTGGATCCGATTAAACGGCGGTAATCGGACTTGACCAATCCACAACTGAGTAATTTTGCTGGTGGGAGTTATCTCTTCAGTAGAACCTTCTTTTGCCCCTATTTGGACACATCTGCAATAAATCAAAATGCCATTTTAAGTTTATCTTTTGTGAACATAATATGCGCCGAATGCTCGATTATTCTGAATTTTATCAACCCCTCTAACCTCCTCTGTTTGGTAAATCTTTTTGTCCTCCTTTTTTATTACTCTTGGTTCTGTTTAACCGAACTGATGCCTATTTTTTTCATTTCCTTCACGATGTAATTTTGCGCAGGACTTCACAAAAACGCGACTTAGAATATTACGAAGTAGTCGTCCTTTAACGAGGGTCTCAATGGCTGTGATGGCTTTTACGGCTAACGGTTAAGATTTTGGACATTTTGGATGGTTGATTTCTTTCTGTTGCTATTAAAAGAAAATTTTTTACCGTTAAATTTTTTAACGACCAACGGTTAATATTCGTCAATTTTTCTGCCGTTTAAGACCAACCGTTAACACCACAGAGACCTTCGAATGGATGAACGCTCTCCGCGGTTTTAAGTGCTTCTGGAATCTAGGAATTTTCTATGTAAACTGTCATAATCAGTCACCATTTGACAAATCACAGTGGAACAGGACCACACGTGTTTGAATTCCGGCCTGAGAGATGGAAATATATCGGCTAAGCATTAGACCTCTTCACCTCATCAGCTAACGTGTTCAGACTTATCAGTCACTCTGAATACTGAGTGGACAACCCGAAAAGGAAACGGGATATTTCTTCGTAATCGCTGTAGAGAGCAGATTCATTGTGTCCTCTCGTCAGATTAGGAACCTCGATGTATCATAAACCATTTATCACAGCGTACTGGGCCGGTCCCAAAAGTACAAGGGCATGGATGAAACATTGATGTTTAATGTTATTATATATTTAGTTTCAAAGGACCTAGATTTTCATAAGCAAGCTGCTTTCGGCAAATTAGTTGGAAGAAGAGAGCTTTGAATCTAAACAGAACACAGACCAAAAGGCGCATTAGTGTCTTCCTTACATATAAGTCATGTAAGCAGTTTGTTTATTTAGAAGAAAGTGCTGTAGTAGTCCTTTTGACGCTGCTCCAAGTACTAAATATTCGCTCTGAGATTACCGTGAAATAGGTGCAATCCGAGGACGATAAGAAAATAAAGGGAAAGCTGCAAAAACAACTCCTACTTTAACATCGTTATTGCATTCATACCAAAGCATAGACAGAAGGCATCTTTAATAACGAAGAAAAGTACTGAGAATCTTTAACAAAACTAGCTGCTCCCATTTTTTTCTCGCCCTTTGAAAAAAAAATTTCTAATGTAAAAACAGAACAATCAGTATGAATAACACTACCAAAAATCTTGCTAGAGATTTTTCGACAACACTTTAACCCTTTCCTAGAGGACTTGAGGAAGAGAGGCCCAGGGAAATAGTTTGTTAATCT